CATTTAATATTCTATAAAACTATTTAAAACTGTTTACAATTATTTCCCTAATATTTTTAAGGATGGTTAATTTGTACATACATCCTCCCTTTACTTTCTATCTACCTCTTCACATCTGAAATACCATTTTCAATCATAAATGTAATTAATTGCACTTTCAGCATTTCTTGCATTTTTTACATGATCAATCATAGTTTTTGAGTCTCACATTTCTCTCCTGCTTATGTCATGTATCTCACACATGATTGTCATCTATATGCTGTTGAAAATTGTGTAACTTCAACTTGCATAGGTCATTGAGCTCCAACTTGGTCAATTGATAGATTTGTTCGATTCCATACTTCAAGATTACATCATAGGCATGGACAGTGGCAGTGTAGTAGTGCCTTTTAACTATATCTCCAAACTGGTTTTGTTGCTAGTGGGTTCTGTTGGCATATAACATCCCTAAGTAGTATGTGTATACTAACAAATTTATATGTTGCCTCAACCTCAGACTTCTCTGAGGTGATTCATTGTTAGGTTTATATTTTTAGGTAGTCGTTGGTCATTGAAAAGAGTGGGATGCTGGGTTAACATCGATTGGGAGAAGATTCGTGACATCAGCCATGATCTCATTCAATGTGATCAAATTTCTGGGCATTTGTTTGTATATAAGTATAATATTTGTTGATCTGTAAACTTTTACTCTCTTTCTCTATATTTTTGTATCCTTTTTATCTCTTTTTCATCCTTGACTTTTGATTAATTTTAGAAACCCTTTTGCTTTTTTTGGTAATTCATCTTGATCTTCTAGATCTCTTTTTGAATTTTTTTATTTATTTTTAGTTGCATTGATCATAGTATTCTTTTATTAGTGCAACATTGAATAGTGTTGCCAAGACCATTCCTTCTAGGGTCTGTAATTTATATACATCTAGCTTTAGCACTTGATGTATATAGAAGGGGCCATCCCATTTTGGCTCTAATTTCATGCTTCAATTATACTTTTTTGATAGCAGGAATTTATTACTAATAGACAAATCAGGTGATAAATATGCATTTCGGTTGTACTATTTTTTAGTTTTTGTTGCACTTGTTGAATTTTTAACACAGCCTCATGGCATGCTATCAGTAAGTTTTTCAACAATTGAAATGTCCTTTGTATTATAGTACCTTCTAATAGATCGTCTGATTTAATTAGTAGGTGGGCTTCTCTTTTATGCATTAAGTAAAATGGCATGATCATGGTAGTTGCATGTTTGGATATACCGTATGCAAATAATACTGCTAGCATGATAAGATTCTAGTCACCAACATTATTTATCATTCTTGCAATAGATTTGCACAGAGTTTTATTGTATTGCTTCACCAACCCATTGGTCTGTAGATGGTATGGCATTGAGAGTAGGTGTTTTATCTTAAATTTTTTGAGCAACCTGTTAACCAGTTGGTTTCTGAAGTGGGTGCCATGATCTGATAATAGCTTGTTGGGCATTCATGCTAACATACAATGTCTTAAAATATAAAGTTAGCTATACTTTGGGCTTCAGGGTCGAAATCACCCTTGTTTCTAGCCACTTGGTTATATAGTCGGCTGTGACGACTATATATTACGAATTTCATAGTATAATCGGGAGTAGTTCTATGATATCTATCCCTACTTTGTAGAAAGTTGCCGATACAGGTATAGGTTGTAAAGGTCCTGCATATTTATTTTTTCCTTACTTTTGATAGTTTTCACACGACTAAACATATCTTCTAATATACTCAAATGCTTGAGACTAATAATAGGTCTTGCAGATTTTTTTAAATATCATTTTAGCTTTAAAATGTTTACTGAATGAGTGATCATGTATCAATAAGAGGATAGGGTCAATTTTGTGTTGCCAGACTACTTTTAAAGGTTAGTTAGAATTCTTCTTATTTCTCCTATATAATAAACCATTCTTTAGAAGAAATGATTTACTGTAATTAATTATTTGTTTTTTTTTGTTTCTTGTTTAGATCACTATCAATATAGCCTTCTTGCAAGTAATTTTTTAATCATTTGTAGTCCTCCTTTTCCATTTTAGATTTCTATAGCCAGAACACTGACTGCCTGGGCTGAATTGAATTTATTGTAAGATTTTGATATTGTACTTTTTCTTCTTTTTTGTTTTTCTTTTTGTATATATGGAGTGAAGTCAATAGAAATAAACAAATTTATCTAATAAATTTGTCTCATTTCTATTGACTTCACCCCATATGTTTGTTTAATTATTACTTTCTGGTTCTACTGATTCTAAGTTAATCAGTCTTTGATCACTCCTTTGGTTAGTGGCTCTTTTAGTTTTAATTGCCTGAGTATTTAGCGATTCTATATATTCTAGATCAATTCCCATATCATATAGATATTCTCTTCTAATTAATTCTTGTTTCACCCCAGAGATTACTCATTTTCTTAGTGTTAATAATTGTCTTGGCTCATGTGTAGGGTTCCTAGGTTCAGTTCAGTTCAGGTTTAGATTCAATGAACCTAAACCTAAACCTGAACATGACCCACAAATTTTGCAGATCATTAAACCTGAACCTGAACTGAACTTTGAATTTATAAACCTGAACTGATCCTGAACTTAAAGTTTTGGTTCAGTTAGATTCAGCTCAAAGTTCTTGAACATGTTCAGGTTCAGTAATAGTTCAGTAATAAAATATAGAAAATTTTTTAAAGAAATCTTTTTTCTTTACTAAGTAAACCTATTTTAAACATCTAAAAAAGTTGTAAAGGGGTTTCTTGCGATCATAATAGCAGTTAAAACATTAAAATTAGCACAGTAAATCGTGAGATATAAGTATTTTAGTTCTCGCGACTATATATTTTCTTCTTTATATAAATAAAGAAGAAACAAATAGCTATTAAGACAAAAATACTTATATCTTGTGATTTACTAGGCCAATTTTAATGATTTAACTGCCATTTTGATCACATGACACTCCTCTACAACTTTAATTAGAAGTTAAAGAGAAATTTACTTAGTAAAAATTTAAAATCAAAACATTTTTTACAATTTTATTAATAAAATTATAAAAAAACATATAATCCTCAAAATTTTACTAATTAATTATATTTTTATATTCTAAGTAAACTTGTTCTATACATAAAACTACACCATACTAGTATATATTTGTATTATAATTTTAAATTTTAAGAAAAATAGTGTTAATTTTGAAAATTTTGATCAAAAATTCAAAATTAAGCATATATTTCTTAAATTTTATAAACATAATGTTAATGTATGCAAATATTATGTATTTTTATGCGTAAAACAAGTTTACTTAGAATATAAATATAGAATTAATTAATAGCATTTTGAGGATCATAATGTTTTTCATAATTTTATTAATAAAATTATAAAAAATTATATGATCCTCAAATTTTATTAATTAATTATATATTTATGCTCTAAGTAAACTTGTTCTACACATAAAAATACATTATATTAGCATATATTAACTTTATATTTATAAAATTTAAGAAAAATATGCTTAAATTTGAATTTTTGATCAAAATTTTCAAAATTAACAATATTTTTCTTAAAATTTAAAATTATAATGCAAACGTATACTGATATGGTGTAGTTTTATATGTATAACAAGTTTACTTATAACATAAAGATATAATTAATTAGTAAAATTTTGAGGATTATATAATTTTTTATAATTTTATTAATAAAATTATGCAAAAT